AGGGTCGATCCTACTCCATGTTTCAGCTCCTTCCATAGATCAGATTCATAGAAGAACTTCTAAAGAGCAAAATTTGTTTTTAACTTTTGTTTTGGGTTATTATCTCGTTACAGGACTCATGATCTTTAATTGAGACCAGACTTTTTGACAAATAGAGCAGGTTTCGCTTCAGACGCTTCATATTTCATTGTACCCAAACCACACTCAAGCCATCCTGTGTCAGGTGCGGCTACAACCAAGAACTAAAGAGAACCTTCTGGTGTTTGACAGCAGATATAACGCTGTTTCTTAGAAGCCTTCAGTTTTAAAAAAGAGCTGACGTAACTTAACTAAAGAGCAGCAAAGACAGCTGCCAATCAGTGTTTGCCCCCCACAAACGCCTATTCTCCAGAAACACCCACTTTTGGCCTGCAGAAAACCCCTTCTCAGTGAGGGAGCGAGCAGCGTGTCTCTTTAAGAAAAATGGGAGGGAGGCCCCTTGACATGACATGGGCTGTCTCTCTTCAGTTCTCAAAATGGCGGCTGCTCTGTGGTTTGAGATCTTTAGCATAACATTTTTCACACAAAGCTTTTAATAAAAAAATCCGTAAACAAGTTCTCAGCTTCTTTTTTCAGAGAAAAACAACTTTTTACACAAAGGCACGGGTTTCAACTGTGAATTTTGGAGCTTTGACAAGACGGAGGTTTTTTCCGAGGTCAGCCTGTTAGCTTAGCTCGTAGCTTAGCTTCTCAGCTTAGCTGCTTTTAATGATCCAAAAATGTGATTTTAGATCATTAAAATGGATTTTAAAGCAAAAAGAGAAAGGGAGGGGTCAGTGAAGAACACTGGAGTTTAACTTTTTGTCATCCAGTGTCTTCAGTAGAAAGAGAGAGACACGAAGAAGCGATAAAGCCGATAAATGAAAATGAGGTTGATAATTTTCATTTATCATGCGATTAATTGATTTAACAATGTGTCCGCTTCAACAGGAACAAATAAAAACAATTTTAATTTCAAATTACGTGTATGTAATTCCCAAGTGAATAAACCTTCAGTTCTGCTGTCATAAACCACTCGAACCTGAAACTAAGAGGCAAATATATAATAAATATATGCTAAATGATGCGAAAAACTTTATGACTACCGGTAAATAACTTAAACACTCCCAACTATTTTTAAAAACGGATTTCTGCAGCTTTTGCACCTCTCGTCCACTCTCAAAGTTTTGGGTACATTTTCTTAAAAGCTTAGCAAAGTATATGTTTTTTAACTCTTTTTATGATGAATCATAGGGACATATGGGCAGCACGGTGGCGCAGTTGGTAGAGCTGTAGCCTCTCAGCGAGAAGGTCATCGATTCAAATCCCGGCTGGGGGCCTTTCTGGGTGCAGTTTGCACGTTCTCTCTGTGCTGTGTGGGTTTTCTCCAGGCACTCCGGTTTCATCCCACAGACCAAAAACATGCATGTTAGTTTGATTGGTGGCTCAAAATTGTCCCTAGGTGTGAGTGAGAGAGTGAATGGTCGTTTGTCTCGTCTGTCTCTGTGTCCCTGTGATGGACTGGAGACCTGTCCAGGGTGTCTCCCGCCTCTTGCACAGTGACTGCTGGACATGGGCACCAGTGACCCCCGCGACCCAGAAAGAAAGAAGCGGGTAAAAGATGATGGATGGATAAGGACACATGGATCTTTTATGAAACGACGTAGCAGAAAACTAGTTCTGGATGTCAACATCAAACTGGTTGATCCACTATGAAAGACCCATCTCTGCCTGATGCCCTCAACAAGTTCTATGCACGCTTTGAAGACCTGAACAGACCACCCAGCACCAGACTCACCTCACCACCGGATGAAGAGCATCTCAGCGTGACCTCAGCAGAAGTAAGGAGTACCTTCAGGAGGATTAATCCGCACAAAGCAACTGGCCCAGACAACATCCCTGAAAAGTGTTGAAGGAATGTGCTGATCAGCTCTGTGAGGTGCTGGCAGACATCTTTAACACCTCACTTACCCTGGAGACAGTTCCCACCTGCCTGAAGACTGCCACCATCATCCCAGTCCCAAAAAGCTCTACAGTGACTGGTCTGAATGACTATCGGCCAGTGGCCCTCACCCCGATAGTCGCTAAATGCTTTGAAAAACTGGTCATGACTCACATCAAAACAACCATCAACATCAACGAGGACCCTGATCAGTATGCATACCGTGAGAACCGATCAACAGAGGATGCCATCTCCTCTGTGGTCCACACTGTGCTCAACCACCTGGAGCAGAAAGACTCTTACGTCCGTATGCTCTTTGTGGACTTCACATCCATCTTCAACACCATGATCCCCCAAACCCTGATGGACAAACTGTCCACACTAGGACTAAGCCCCTCCATCTGCAACTGGGTACTAGACTTTTTAACAAACAGACCACAGTTAGTGAGGATCCACAACCTCTCCTCCTCCACCATAACACTCAGCACTGGCTCTCCTCAGGGATGTGTGTTGAGCCCCCTCCTGTTTACTCTGCTCACGTATGATTGTGCAGCTACCCATCCAGGCTGTCACATTGTAAAGTTTGCAGATGATACAGCGGTGGTGGGATGCATCACAAACAATGATGAGTCCAGCTCCAGGCAAGAGGTGGAACACCTGGAGAGCTGGTGCAAAGCGAATAACCTTCACATCAATGTGAAGAAGACCAATGAGATGATTGTGGACTTCAGAAGGAACAAAAACATCTACACCCCCCTGAACATAAGAGGATCTGCGATGGAAGTGGTCTCCAGCTACAAGTACTTGGGTGTACACATGAATGACAACCTCAGCTGGAGCAACAACACCACCAGCCTGATCAAGAAAGCTCATCAGAGACTCTACTTCCTCAGACGGCTGAGATGAGCTGGTCTGGGAAGCTCAGTCCTCACCTCCTTCTACAGGTGTGCAGTGGAGAGCATCCTGTGCTCCAGCATCAATGTGTGGCATGGAGGCTGCACAGCTGCAGAAAGAAAAGCTTTGCAGAGAGTGGTGAAGGCTGCACAGAAGATGTTGGAGTCAGCCTCCCCACCATCACAGACATCTACACCTCCAGAAGCAGGAAGAGGGCCACCTGCATCATGAAGGACCCCACTCACCCAGCACACACACTTTTTGCCCCACTCCCCTCAGGAAGGAGGTTGAGGAGCATTAAGTGTAGAACCACTAGACTGAGGAACAGCTTCTACCCTGAGGCTGTTAGACTCATGAATCTCTAACTAGAATAATCACTGTGAAAAACCACATCATGTTGCTGCTGATCTGTTTCATGTTGCTGCTGATCTGTTTCAATGTTGATGTGTTCATGCGTGCACATCTGCTCACAGACTCATGTTCATGTTTGTGCTGATGTTCAATGTTTTATGTTATGAGTGCTTAGTGTATATTTAGTTTATGTTTTTCTTAGTTCATATCTTAGATGTTATTACTGTTTTTCTTATACATTTTATTGTTGGATGTAACTGGGACCCTGTGTACATAATTTCGCTCCACCACATGTACCACATGAGGTGCGAATGACAATAAAGAATCTCTGACTCTGACTCTATGAGAAGGTGCTATTTATAAGACTGAGTTTGTTGCAATTCCTCAGACTGAAGAAGTCTTTTGGATAAAAGACGAAACGTTTCAACAAGTTTTTATTTTTTGAATCCGTCCAGAGGACCTGACTTAACTTGGTTAGAATGACGTAGCAGGTTTTTCAGCATATGCCTACGATCACTTTGACTACTAGAAATTAAATACCACAAACGTTTTTATCAGTTTTACTTTGTACGACTCACTTTATCCTCGTCCTGTTGTCATTTAATTTTTGACAAGTGTTGAAACGGTTAATAACAACTGAGGAAACTGTTAAAATGCTACACATGTTCTGAGCAATGTAAAGAATGTGCTCTGTATTTTCACATTTTAATTTGAGCACATACCGGTAGTTATTATGGGCTCCTCCACAGAGATGACACCTTAACGTGGAAAAGTTCAGATTACCTGGTCTTCTTGGAGACCCTGAATGGGTGCCACCTGGGGATTCCCTTGTTCTACTGGGGGGACTTCAATGCCCATGTGGGCAATGACAGCGTTAAGTGTAAGGGGTGACTGGCAGAAATGGCCTCCTTGATCTGAACCTGAACAGTGTTCTGTTATAGACTTTGTGCCAGGCATGGGCTGCTCATAACGAACACCGTGTTTGGACATAGGGTGGTCCATTTGTGTTCTTAGTAACAGCGCATTTGGTGACCCAGAAAAGGAATGCGGGCCCCATCCCAGGCTGTGCTTGGTTTGGGTGGGGAGCTGCTGACGTGGACTGGGGATATTGTTGAACAATGGACAGAGAATTTCAATGACTTCATTAATCCTCCTCCTACCATGTCCATCTTTGAGGAAGCAGAGTTTAAGGGCTTGGGAGAAGACCAGTCCATTACCATGGCAGAGTTCACTGAGGTGGTCAAAAAGCTCCCTAGTTAATAAACTGTCACATCTGTAGTAGTGTAGACAAGGACATTTAAATGAAGATTATGAGACCAGCTATGTTGTATGGTCTGGAGACAGAGACATGGACAGAAAGACAGGAGACAGAACTGGAAGTGGCAGAAATGAAGATGTTGAGGTTCTCCTTAGAAGTGACAAGGATGGATAAGATCAGGAATGAGATCATCAGTGGTACAGCACAGGTTGAACAACTGGGAGATAAAGTTAGAGAGACCAGACTGAGATGGTTTGGACATGTCCAGAGGAGGACAGTGGTTTGGACATGTCGAGAGGAGGGACAGTGGTTTGGAAAGGTCCAGAGGAGGGACAGTGGTTTGGACAGGTCCAGAGGAGGGACAGT